TTTTGTATATAATTAGTAAGTAATTTTTATTTAAATAAATGCATATAAATTTACCTGACACTAAACTCCTTAAGGGGGGGCTAAGGTACTAATTATATTTTTTCATTTCTTTTTTTTTTTCAAATTGAATGCATAATATCTGGAGAATATTGTGTCAAAATTTCGAGCCAAGTAAAGTAAAATCTACGAGGTTTTGAGTAAATAAGTATAAATAAATAAACGTTTTGCACTTAATTTTTTTGTGTTTTAAAGCGTTTTTCCCACAACTCACGTTTTCAAAGACTGTGCCCCTCAAAACTACTGCACCGATCCTTTTGAAATTTTAAACACTATTTCTGTACATATTTGATGAGGTAACGCGGGAGAGTTTTTTTTTTCATAATTTTGATTTCGCTAAAACAAATTAGCCAATTTTTTCCCAAAAATTGTGTTTTTCTCTTCAAAAACTTCGAAAAATTTAAAAAATTGGAATTTCAAAAAACCCTTACAGCGCTACCTCGGGGAAAACTATTATCTAACGAATGAACTTTCGTTTTTTAATTTCGGATGATCCAGCATCGAGTTATGAGGGGCACCGCAATTCAACTTTTTTTCGGTACCCGTCCGGACAATTGCTGCCATTGCCGTATTTTTTAATATTTCTTTGTAAAAAATTGGTAAGACATTTTTCGAATGTTATACGTTTTTTTCGAATGTACCATTGGTTGGATAAATAAATTTTAACTGTGTCGTCAGGAAAAAAAATCACAAAAACATGGTTTTTTTCGTATGATTTGACCTTACTTAAAACTTTAATTTTCAAATTTTAATTTATAACATATTTTTAATTTATTTAAACCTAAACTTATATGAGACTTTTATCCATAGAAACATATTTCCAAAGCTAAACACACACACATACAAATAGTAACACAAAGGTGCTTAGTTGGCTCATTCCAGGCGAGTTGATTAATTAATTGCATAAAGTTCAACGAACTGACATTAGTACTGACTCCACCACTGGCACGGGACAAAAGCTGCAACAACAACAATGGACGCGGTCGTAACCCAATAAAGCTGTGTGCCATTCACTGCGATGAGCAGCTAAAATAGAATGAGATAGGAAAAAACTAAAAATTAAAACAAAAACAATGAGAAAAACACAAAGACAAGTCAAACGAGCAACATAATTTATGCTTCGTATTTGTTTTATAACAATTTATGTAAATATCCAAGCGAAGACAGGGCCGCAACACGTTGAACTTGTGACTGGAAGCCACGACGCGGCTAATAAAAGTATCCAATAACTTCAATTCGATTAGACAACTACCGTTATTTCAGCACAAACTATTTAATGCTTTAAAAATGTTATTCTACAAATTTTATAACATAATTTCTTCAGCTTTCATAATGAAAATCAGCAGTCGCTAAGACAATAGCAAATAATTAGTAAGTATTTACGAATTTATTAGAACTTATTGTTGAATGTAATAAAGAGATATTGTTGAATATAAAAATAAGAAATAAATAAAGAAGGAAAATATTTTTTTTTTCATTATTTTTTTTTGATATTACTTCTTCCATAAATTTGCTCATTTCATTCCTGCGCCGTTCCATCCGCGAGCGTGATTGTTACTCTTAACGGTATTCACACTTGTAGGTCGCCGCTGATTACTAGCGTTGTTGTTGTCAGTCGGCACCAAGATTCGTTACAAAACGAAATTGTTGGAGTCGAGTGAGCGCACATTGATTTAATACTCGTAAAAAAGTCAATAAATAATATCATGGAGAAGAAAAAAGTACCATATAAAAAAGAAGTAAGATAAAGTGTTCGCAATATACAAATTAAATTTAAAATTTTAATTTTTCAAATTAGAAATCTCGAAAAACCTTAAATTTTCCACTTTAAGTATCAAGAAAACAGTAATAAAACTGTCGAACATGTGGCAACTCTGCGCAGAAATAATGCCTGCAGAGTCTCCATTTTAATCTTAAATATTTTTTTTAATGTCCACATATGTATTTATAAAATTTCGTTGGGACAAAAATTTATCTACAGGTGGCAACCTGAAATTTAAAATAAAATTTTTTTAAATTAGAAATTGGGAGAATTTAAAATTTTCTAGTATATGTAGAAATAGAACATCTGTGAATAACTAAATTAGAATTTTCGAACATCTGGCAACTCTACTCATAAACAACTGCTACAACAGCGCCAAATAACTTCCTCAAAAGTACTTTAATAACATACATATTTAATTCGAATACCGTATTGCAGCTTTACGTTTACTTTTACAAATTAATTTGTTTTTAACAGGTGACAACCAAAACCTAAAATAAATATAATATTATTTGGTATAAGCTACTTAAACCTTGTTAAGTTTGATATATGTATGTATGTACATATTGTAGTAATTATTTTTGTATGGTAAAATTTTTGAACATCTGGCAATCTCACCCAAACGATATGTGGGAAAAATTTTCTTTTTTAATTACCATATTGCACTTTTTTACAACTTACTTGAAAAATTTTTTTTTAAAAGATGGCAACCCCAGGCAAAAATATGTTTAAAATTATTAAACTAGTTTTCAGCGCAAGTTTGTCAAACTCTCTTTACTTTGTTATACATAGTGTAAAAATTATATTCTCACGATAAAAGTTTTAAACATGTGACAACGTCTTCTCAAGAACCGTTCCCTTAAAATCGTCTGGAAGACCTACGATATTTCACTATTATATCGTAACTTTTTATTATTTTAATCTTCTTTTATAAAAAATTTTAACAGGTGGCAACCCTTACCTTCAAATATTTTTAACATTAGCCTTTAATATTGCAACACTTATGTTTTAATATTTGTTTTATGTTACCAATTATATTGCATTCAAAATTTCACACCAGGTGGCAACTCTTCTAGATAAATATTTGGAATTCTAATTTGATCACCTTCATTGTATCAGCTTTTTTTTTAATTTTGTTAGTCCTAGCCCATCCGAGAATGACTTCGATTACATTTTATGCCATTTAGAAAATTATCACTATTTTCCATGAAGAAGAAGACTTACGACGAAGGTAGTTTGAAGAGATTTACTAAAATTTCATATAGGTAGCTTTACTTGAAAATGTCATTCTCGCTATACGCTAACTTCACATACTAAGCGTGCGCACACCAAATTAAAATATTACCTAATTTTACGTCTGATTTAAATTAACTGAGCTTATCATTTCTTATTGCCAACTTCTTCTTACGTTTCTTGAACTTGACTTCATCACTGAACTGATGACTGATCTTGTCACCTCGGTAGACTACCTCGCGACTTAGCCCACAAACACACTAGTTATCTTTAAATGTGTGTTGTTGGCTGTGGAAGTTGTTGTTGCGCTTGAGGTTACTCACGGCTATTGAACTACTTACCTAGTACCAAACCGAACGGGTGAGCGCTGTGACGTTGGCAGTGGCAATGATCGTGAAGTTCAGCTGATGAAGACGAAGACGACAAAAACAACGACGTCGTCAACAGCTTCGGCTATACTGCTATTGTCTAGCCAACAACAATGCTTATAGTATGTATGTTAACGGTGACGTTAGTTACTGTGACGGCATCGATGCAAGATTTCATTCAGCAAAGCTCACACCATTCAACTCGAGTTGGAGCAGAAGAAAAAAACAAAAACGCTACAACAAATTTATTCATTATTTTATATGTATTGTATTTAATTTAGTACCGATATGCAATAAAATATTGTTGGTAATGTTTTTCTTCAATGAATATATAGAATCCAAACTTATTTGAAGGAGAAATGGAGAATACAAATTTTCATAATACTGAAAACCTAAACTCCTCCTTATCATTTGTTCAAGTCTATGATGGAGAAATTAGTTTAGTTGGATTAGTTGGAACTGCGACATGGAACTTGGGACTATGTAAGATCGCCAACATGCAGTTCATAAACAAACAGGAAGCCTAAATTGAGTAAGTAAAGCTGTGACAGGGAATGTTGTCTATAATATACAAGCTTTAGCGTTGCAATCGGTAGTTTATAGAAGCGTGTACGATTTAAAACTGTTTTCCACATAAGTTATCCTTCGCTTAACTTGTATTGCGGTTAGGCAGTCACTGGAGCAATAATTTCGAAAAGAAGTGATTGCCAGATAGATTTTACTCTCCTCACTTACTTTTATGGATTCTTTGTATAACACGATCGGTGATTCCCACGCCAAGTCCAACACATCACATTTCGTGACGGAATCTTCACTATACCTCCTAAAATTATCGAATAAGAAAACTAGTTGTTTTTATTATGTATCAGGTAGGCCAGAATCTCTTCATGAGATTACACCCTTGTCATATTATAATCTTTTGTAGCTATCGGTCAAATGAGGACATAAACTGACCAAATAATATTAAAAGAACGCACCACCAGCAATAGATATTCCATGTTGAATTAATAGACTTGAGTTGTCAAAATAATCTTAGCGATATGAAAACACTGCTTACAATATGCCTGACAACTTCATTGTACAGTAGAATTTGTAAACCATTTTCATAGACCGTCTTCTAAGGGTGAAAACCACCAGCGACAATACCAAGCTTCACATATCAATAGTGACTCGCCGAAAGCTACTTGAGCTTAATTTTAATGCATCCATTTCCGTACTGGTCCCAACGCCAACCCTTTCTTCTCTATGACGGATAAGTTTACTGGTGGAAAATTTACCCGAGAAGATTGTAAGATTCGGCCATATTTGTTTTTTGCCAGTAGCGATAAGGGTCTCTATGAGAGTGACATTATAAAATTACCATTAAAATGGCAACAAGTTAGCTAAGTAACAGTGCATAAACCTTCCACTTAATGCAGAAATATTGAATTTTAGATTTTAAATTATTGGATCATCTGAAGTCCACAATTGTGGAAAAAATCGTTATTAGATGAAAAAGAAGCAAATGCTGTTTCTTCATGACAATGAACTACATCATAAATAAATGAGAAGAGTGATCGTCATATTCCTCTTATTTTGCCAGACCAACTTTTTCTGTCCTTGAAACTCAAAAAAATAGCAATTTAGTGACAATGAGAATATAGGAAAAGTTTGAAAGTTTTACTAAAACTCGAACTTGCAGAAACCATGAATTACAGTTTAAAAATTGTCCTATTTTACTAAATGAAAATATCGCTTTCGCATCAGAATTGCTTCGCTTGGACCACTTTGACACTATGATGTCGCCAAATTTCTATATATTGCCCAAACTATCAATGGATGTGTTTGGGAGCGTGAAACATCTACTTTAAAGTTTTTTTATTTTTATTATTTTTTTTTATTTCTATTTTTTTATATTTATTTTTTTTTTTCAAACTGAGAAAGTTTACAGGTGGAATATTTGATGCACTAGCTAGTACAAAATACAGATCTAATCAAATAATGATTGTTCTGGAAAGTGATCATGGAAAACTCTTATGCTGATTGTTCAAAATTTCGGAGGTAATCAAACAATAGATAACAGATAATTTAAGAAAAGAAGAGTCATTCCAAAAAAAAATCTACGTCCAAATCGCATTAAACGAAAAGCTGGAAAAATATAGAAATATAATGTATTAACTACATTTTTTCGATTCTAAATAATCTAATATTTAATTGTCAAAAATTTAACTATTTTCTAGACTTTTCCAAAATTAAATTGCTCGCATTTATAGTCCACAATCAACATTTATACGCAGAAACCATACGAGTTCAATAACATTTGCAAAGAAAGTACTCAACTGGCACTTTCTTCCCACAACTGAAACATCATTGCATGGTCTCTGAAAAGTTTAGTGAACTTTAGAAAGGAAAATTTGTAGTCAAAGCAAATAAATATTTACAAATCTCACAAAATGAGCGCCATTATATTATTGGCAAGTAATTTGTACTTTCCTTTTTTTATTTATTCTAATTTTCATTTCATTGTATATGCTAAAAAAAATTTTGGTTACTATGAATTTTATCAAATTTTTTTTAGCAAAAATTCACCGAAAGTGCGTCAGCGACGAATAATGGTTAACCATGTCACGACAAGTCAAGCACCCGGCAGCCGATTTGCATTTTCAATTATCGTGTGTACTAGT